ACCCCCCCCCCCCCCCCCCCCCCCCGCGCCACCTCACCCGTAGAGCATCAGCAGGCAGCTGGTGCACGTGAGGGTGATGACCAGGTTGCGAGTGGCCAGCTTCCGCATGTACTCTTTTCCCATCGAAGCCGGCACGACAAAGCCGGCAGCACCGCCGGGGAAGCCAGTGCTTCCGCTGCCGCTCGCCCTCCTGACGAACCCGCTACTAATGTTGTCAGAGCTCCGCGTCGTCCCAGCTACCAACGATTGCCGCATGTCATCTGATGCCACACACATGAAAAAAAGGATGAGACGGTTGTTGCCCGATGAGTTTCAAAGTCGCGTCAAAACCGGGGATGATCGGGGCAATAACAACACACGGAGGGTAAATACACTCTTGTCCGCTAGAACCCTGTTCTATCCGCGTACTCTGCTTACTTGGCCCCAATGCTCGATTACCGCAAAATACACGTCGACGCGGCTTAATTGTGGGTACAGCGCGGCAGGGAGTTCCACAATGTTCTTCTTCGGCGTTGTATGTAGCGGGGTTGTTGTCCCCCGACATGGGCACACACAACGCCTCCAGAACTTGTTGGGATCGATCGAAGTTTGGTAGTGGTTCTTTACTGAGCGTCGGCTTTTCTCCAAACAAATTCCGTGACCAAAGGAAAAGAAGGCAGGCCGTCGTGTTCTTACGACGAAAAAGTCGCAAGAAGAAAGTTCCAGTCCGCGGGTTCCCCCGAATGGGAGGGCGAAGCATTGCGTTCATTGAAAGCGACACGATAAACAGCACTGCCAGAGAGACTATTATTTGAAAACTATAAGAGGAAGCACGGATTCAAGAGCGTACAAGTGGCTTGTAACGGCCATGAGAAAACAACAACAGCATTCCTTTGCACACGTGCACACAAGGATTGAAGAAAATGATAAAATATAGATTGAGCTGTTTCTTTGGCACGACCCTCCACTCAGCGTCGGTACCAAACCATTCCTCCATGACACGAGACAAATATGATAGTGCTGTGTTTTCTGTGGCTTGCGTCAGCCGTGGTTGCCTTGGTTCCTCGTTTTGTAACGAAGCACGAAAAAAATCTTCGCGGTTTGATCATAATATTAAGGAATAATATAAACACACACAGAAAGACTATTACTATAGTAGGGTCCTGCCACCCAGTCGCCGAGGATGTTCCTTTGGAAATGGTATGATTGTACCTATGATTGCATCCGCAATTAGCAAACACAACAGCACCACCGTGGGTTTTCTTGGGGGGCAGGTCACCAGTCATCAGGTGGCGGTGAAATGCTTACTATAAATAGGTACATAGCGCGCAATTTGCGTTCTCATCTTTAAAACCACCGCATACATGTACTAAGCGTGGCTCTACGCTCGAGAGATCGCCCACAACGGGCGAACGTGTGCGCGTATCAAGAACTAGTTACTACGATCAGATCATCAGCGGATCCCCCGTCGTGCCACGGGGGAAAAGACGCACGGACGGGCACACACCGACACCCAAGACGTTGTGTGCTTGTATGTCCGCAGGAAAACGTGCGGACAGATTTGGACAACATTAACATTCATGCTGGCTTTCGAACCTTCTTCGTCGCTCAAGGCTCTGTTGCTCTGTTGTACGGCGTGCATTAGTCTTATAAGCTACCAGGTGAGCGTCAAAGGACTTCCTTGCCAGGGCAAACAACTACTTGTCGGGAGTATGCATATAACGCTTCTGAACAGCACCAGTGGATGCGTACCCATCTAGTACAGAAAAATCGGGCGGTAGGCTCATCATCCGTTGTGTGTACAACCAACCAACCAACAGAAGTCATCCCATCCTCGTGTACACACCGGGCGGGGCGTTTTCAACACCGACAGAAAGACAACGACGTACAATAGAGAGACAACGATCGCGTGGCGCTGTGTACATTGACGATGGCATCATGGTGGCATGATGGCACTCACGGCCGTAAGGGTGGGCGAATAAACCGGCAACGCCATGCAGGTGCACATGTTTACTGGAATAATGTATGCTACCGGAGCAAGTAGTCGGGGCGAGAGCTTGCCGCTAGCTACAAGCGTGTGGAGACGGAGGGTTCATCCTAAGAAACGTGTGCCTCGGATCTGGCGTGCCCTACTAAGCACATTCAACTGGTTGGGCCACACGAGCCCCCTATGCGAGGCGATCGCTGTCGGGACGATGCAACCCGCCTGCCTCACCTCGATCTTCTGCTTCCATGATCGACTACGGGAGAGGAGCAACAGCAGTAAATGTTGTTCGCCACCTTCTTCCTTCGTATTCCCGCAATCCGTCTCCGATTCCCTCGGAGATGGTTGGAGAACTATGCTACCTATCGTGGGCGCCTGTTGCCGTTATCCCTCCACGCGAGCCCGGCGATGCCCCGCAAGGATATGATCTTGCTAGGGTCCAAAAAGCGTGACTCGACAAGTGTTTTTCTCGATATGGTGATGATGACCACCGATGCGGCGGAACTAACTCTTGCACATTAATCGCCCACGTAGGTACAGATACCAAAATAACGCCTCCAAAGATTCAAGAAAAATCGAATGATTCACGGAGCCCCCGATTATTTTCTCTTCGCGAGACAGAGAGAGCTCTTCCACATTTCACTTCTGTTTTAGCCCCGCAACAGCACCACCGCTTACCAGGTACGACGAGTTCCATGCTGAGGGTGTGCTGCGAGAGAACTATGGCGTTGGCGTGTCGTAGCCTGCGCTTCGAAGCTTGGGCGTGTGGTGTGTTAAATGCTTATTCTTTCAATCAACCGACCAGATTCGGCCCTTTCATCAAGACCACAGCAGATAGATGAGACGATGCTCTACAGATAACGCTGCTGTTTCCGTGTTTCTTCTTGAAGAACCTGGAACTCGAGCCGACACGGGCTGAACTTCCCGTGTTCATTCAACCGTTTGCGGAACAATTTGGTTTGCCTATTTGGCGGCTCCTTCTCGGTCGTGTCGCCGTACCTACCGGCTAGGCAGCGGTAGTTGACGAGAGCTAGCTGATAAAATTCGCCTCATTTCACTGCTTGCTGGGAAGCATTACGTGTCACTATCGCGGTTTAAGATCAGTTTACAACTTCCCGACGAGAGCCGCGTGCTACGCAGGTACTCTCCTCCCCCCCCCTCTCTCCCTTCTTCCCCCATCTCTCTCTCTCTCTCTCTCTTGCTCGCCCTCTGTCTCCCCCTCTCTCGATCCCTATGATCGAGAATCTTCGCCGTACTTTCGAGCGTGTCTCAGATTTTACTACAATAGAGCCTTGCAGGACAAGCGGGGAAATATTCGAGTGGTGGGTCACTGGGGGCTGGTGCATGCTTCGCAAAATAAAATTCGCCGGGTTGCCAGCCCCCCTGTAGCGTTCCCCGTATTTACAGGTTTCGCGAATCACCTACTGTAGACGCGACCGGTTCCCCAGCAACAGTTCGATGTCCTGTTCCCTGATGCCTGTCGGGCAGATACAGCTGTAGACGTGTCTCCTCAGGACTTTGTCAGCCTTAGTGTACTTGTGTCCAAAGTCAAAGTTCTACTCCGTTGCTGTCGTCTTACTCCCACACGGTATCCATGCCATGGCACGCCTCATGCCGTCTTGTCCATACCCCTTTCTCTCCCCAAGCCCGTTAATACAGTACAAGCAGTTGCCCCCGCTACCGTGGGCACTTCAAGTGTTTTATTATTTTTTAAGACTTGTTCAAGGACGAAGCAAATGAAGGAAAGAGGTGTACATGAGTCAAATAGTCGAAGATCATTCCGCACGTTCTAAATCCGTTCCGAATCCGGCTACGAAAGAAGCCCACGGAGAGATGCCATGCTCGGTATCAAGAATGTCGGGACTATCCTGGGCGTCGTTATACACATGCATGCTTCTTTTTGTTTGTTTCCGGATCTTGATCACTGGGAGATCTGACTCATTTTCCCCGTGGGGTGTTGCTTGGATTTGATCGCTCTTTGAAGTCTGGAATACTTGCATGGGGGTATGCATATGCATGTCCAGACAAAACTAGTCAATCCATGTCTGCGAGATGCATGCCTGAAATAACATGCTACCATGTCTCTCGACTAAATAGCAGGTCTTGTCTGTCTGGTACATTGAAATACTGCAAATACTGCAGGAGATACAAGTATGTACTTGCAGAGCGTGTGCTGATTTCCGTTCTGGGTTAGTACGCAGACAGACCGCTCAATCAACATGCAGACATGCAGCGATTCGCCCGAAGAACCACATCATAACCATCGACTTTGCTTTCTTCGATTTTTTTTTTTTTGCCTCGCCTTCAGCGTTCGTGTTGTTGTTGTTGTTGTTGTTGTTGTTGTTGTCTTGGCATGATCATCCGTCCCGATCTCTGCTCAGATTAATATCCGTAACAGTCCAACTAATGCGGACACCTTCCGTGGTCACAGCAGTCCAACTACCCCAACAATGGGTAGTTGCACATGTCTAGAAGTCAAGGACCGGAAATAAATGAACATATCGGCCCAGAACAAACTTCAAACCTAAGACCTCAAGTTCGGTGTACCCCCAGCAAATGACCCACTTCTTCAAGCAGGTGTATTGTGTGAAGATCTCGGCTCAATGGCCTTTCCTGAAGATACAAGAGGCCACTCTGGTTCTTCTCTTCATACATATTGATGTGTTCGACTTCTGATCCTGGTCTGCAAAGGCGGTTCCTCCCTTTCAACGATGCTAGCATACTTGTATGATTTTGTAGCACAAGGCACGAGCAGATAGGCAAGCATATACCCCCAGATACTTGCAGCCAGGCTCGAATGACTCCCCAAGTCATTTATCGTACAGATGTTAGTGTCTTCATTTCTCACAGCAGTTGCCCACAGGCCAGGATTCTTGTCTTGGTTGGTCTTCGTACATCCTTGACCCCAGCCAATCGGCTGTCAGTGTAGTTAGCTATCTGACAGCAACAACAGCATTGGCGAATGCCCCCCTTGCCATGAAACGTGGTTTGTCGTCCCTTCCACCGCACCTGCATTTCACAGATCCGCAGGGCGAAGCCGAAGTCGCGAAAACCTTGTGTGGCGAGAAAGAACAGAACACCGGCCATCCACAAATAAAAACACAGCACAGCCATGGTAACCGCGGCGAAAACGACCAAGGAGTTGAGCGAGGAGGAAATCGAAGACTACAAGGAGGCCTTCAGCAACTTCGATAAGGACGGCAACGGGAACATCGACGAGTTGGAGCTCGGCGTGGTCATGCGCTCGCTGGGGTACTCTCCGACCAACCAGCAGCTCAAGGAGATGATGGCCAAGGTGGGTCATGGATTTCAGTTGCGCCGCACCCTCTTTTGGCGTGCTGTAAGGGAGCAAAACATAGCGTCACGCTTGAAGGCCGACGCCGATCAAAAAAGAGTGTTTCTTCGGAGGAATCGGTTTGTGCACCTCTGGTTTGGGGTGAATGGGACGTTCACTTGTGTCTCCAACATAAAGACCAGGCAGTCTTGGCCGTTCAGTCTGTCCCTGCATGGGTGAGTGATCCCTTGACAAGCAGTGCAGCCGCACCCCCATCTCTCTTCGTGTTTGCCGTGCCCCCGGGAAGGATGGAACGATTCCTCTCCCTCTCGGTAATTCTCTCTAAAGCTGCGATGCCGCAGCACACAACCATCTGAGGGTCACAGGACACGCGACACCCGGACAAACCACGCCTGGTGTTGGTGGTTGGTTTTGGAGGGCTGGTACGCCCGAGCGAGAACACCGCTTTGAGTGGGCTTCTACCCCTCACTTCCGATGCTTTTGCGAGTTTTCGCAGACACGGGCCTCGAATGTGGATCGATGACTTTGATGCTCCCGAAGGAGAGTTCGTCACCTGCACACTGTTTAACTTTCCCCGCAGAACGTCCTATTGACATGAACCTGAATGCGTCTAATTAAGGAACTAGTAACTAAACTTATCCTCCCCCCCCCCCCTCCGTTATATTTTTGAGCCACCTTTGGCAAAGTAGGAGGGAACGGTTGACCATCGATGATCGACCCTGTGGGAACAATGCTCGGTCCTCTCGAGGACGCGTGGTCAATAGTCTAACCGGTAGTAAGGCATGCAAAACATCGGGGTATGTCCCCCCCACCCTTCCGTATTCCCGTATTCCCTGTGGGTGTGTGTTTTTTACCGCAATCAGGTGGACACGGACCAAAGCGGCGGAATCTCGTTCGACGAGTTTGTGGCGATGATGCAGCTGGGAGAGGTGGAGACCGACTTCACGAAGGAGATCAACGAGGCCTTCAAGTTCTTCGACAAGGATGGGGATGGAGAGGTCACCCCCGCGGAGCTAGCCGAGATCATGCGAGGCCTTGGCGACAAGCTATCGGACGATGAGATCGAGCTCCTTGTCAAGGTGGCCGACAAGGATGGAGATGGAGTCATCAGCATTGACGAGTAAGTTTTTGTTTTCTTCTGCTCTCTACGGCAGTTTTTTTTTTCTTAATATAACACAATACATCCTTATCCATAGATCAGGGTCTACTGGATAAATTAGCATTTGCGGTTTTATGTACGTGTTCCGAAATCAGCAATTGAAAAAAATACGCCACGATAGCGTAGCATACCCATGCTCCCAGGTTTGGTGCGCTGCGTCATGCACTCTCGTTTGTTGTTTGACCAACGCTTGTGCATACTCCTCTTTTTTCAAGGTCAAGTTTGGAACACTTGGCACATTATGTGCCATTCCTCGTCCTTGTCGTCGACCCGGGTCCTCAGTTGAGGCCTGCATCCAGGACGCACCCGTCCATAGTTCCACAATCGTGTCCGTCGCTACGCTACTACTGTACTGTTATGGGTCGATCATGATTCGCTCGCTCCCTGTGGTTGCCCGGTATCCGGTACTGCTGTTGGTATGTTGGCGATTCACTTTTGTCTTGGTTCTCTCCACCCTCGGAGGTATTCAGTAAACGCCGCTCTTGTTGGCGTTGGCGCTCCCCGTCTTTCTACTGTGGCGGAGATATCGATCATGAATACCAGTAGAGGCAGATTAGAGGCGACTGCTCGTATTATTGTTGTTTTTTTTTAACGTTGGTCGGGTCAGACGGGAATGAATTCCTCCGTTACAACATGCACTGTACTTCAAACGACCAGTTTGTCACCCTGAAACCTCTCCGCACTACTGCTACTGCTGCTGCTGCTGCTGCTGCTGCTGCGACAGGTTCATCTCGTTCATGTACAGCTAAGCTGGGCAAGGAAGGGGTGTTGCTGTGTTCATTTTGTGGGCACGATTGTTGAGCGTAGCGCACTTTCATTCCGAGATGATGTAAGCTGTGTGCGCAACCAGTAGTTGATGATGACACACAGCAGTGACGATGATGATTACGATTGATTGCACGTCTCTTGAACCAGAATTATTATCAATCCCGTCTGGGGTGATGGCGCACCCACAACAATGATTTGTTGGTCGTTGTATTCTGTTTTGCTCTGCGTCCGGCTGCATTAGCGCCCGTCCTGGTTTGCCTTTAGGTAGCGACACCGCTGTTTGTAGGGTCCGTATGTGGTCGATGGACTATTTCTTGCCTTCGTGCATATCAAGGCGTTGATTTTGTTGCTATGGCTGGCTCTGTTGGCTGGCTCCACTCGCACGATGTAAACAAGTTTGGTCGAGAAGCATGGTATGGCTGCACCCCTTTTTGATGCGTATGCCTCTCTCGGGAAGAGGTCTTGGCCAGTCGCGGTAGTGTACGTGAAGAGCGAAGCACGATAATGGACCGTGTCTGCCGTCGTGCCAGAACGAGCGGCGTTTGCTCGCGCCGCGAGGGCATGGTTGCGCCTTGCCTAGATAGTTCCGCAGGCCTTGTGAAATGGCCATGAAATGGCCAGTCGGGTCTGCCTCTTGCTCTTGCTCGCGAGCAAGGAAGGAGTGTGGTAGCCCCCTGGTTTTACTCTTTTTGTGTATCTCGCTGCAGTCATTGGCAACGAGCGTGTCCCTGAGTGCTTTGTCCAGAGTCCTGAGAGAGAGAAAATCGCCAGACAGTGCGGGGGGGGCAAACACCGGTCAAGGCCATGTTTAATTTGTCTTTTATGTGAATTGTGATTTCTTGTTTGTTTTTGACCGCACCGAGTATTGACAGCGCTGAAATGAAAGGGTGTCAATGTCATGGTAAGGAATCGCTGCTGTTGGCAGTAGTCACCTTTTCGACAACGAACCCCCAGAAGTCGATATTGTCTGGAAGACTTCATAGCGTTGATATTTGTTCTGTGAAGCCTTGCATACACCTCACTCTAGTACTCTGTCTACCTCTGGAAAACGTTCCCGAACCTCAAGCCGTACAATGTGTAGTCTAGAACACACACGACACGTAGCGATAGGTGCCCTTTGGAGGCGCACATTTGGTGATGGTGATGGGAGGTTGCTGTCTTTTCAGGGTGCTTCGCCTCCTTCCTGACGTGGCGAAAGTTATTTGCTGGCAGCGGTCGTGCTGTGCTGCTTTCTCTGTAGAAGCACCACATAGAGGCACCACAAGTTTTACCTCGGTCAAGCGTTGTTGTGCTCGTCATCATCAGTCAGCCAAACCACTGCTGTCTGTCGAATTGTCGCCGTTGGTCTTGTTCCCTCTCCTGCAATCAGTGTATCCGACTGCTGTCGTAGACTCGATGTCTTTCGGCCCAAGACCCTTTGCCACTCTGTTGACTGGCCGAGAACCAGGCACATCATCATTGAATGCCACAACCAAGCAAATCTACTTTTAGTTTGTTGGGGGGCAATCGACAATCGATTAGAACCAGACTACTAGCGCCAAGCAGCTCGCTTCGTGCAAAGTAGTGTATCTGGACAGGGGCGCGTTCGTCGCCTGTTCGTGAGGTGGATTATGCCATCCTTACAAAGGCTACTGCGGTAGCTCATGTGTGGTTTTGAGCTATCTATGCAAGTGCACAAGTACACGGCCGTTCATCGGTGTTCCGAGTTCCGAATGCGTCTTTACACCGCGAAGAATGTTATTATTGCGCCTTGTTGCTCGTGTACCTCGCTTGGTGTTTGTGGTGCACCCTGGTGCCCACTCTCTTCCGTGGCTTGTTTCTACGAGGACAACCAATAAAACGACTTTACCATCTCTCCACTTTTGTCAACCGGGACAGCCGTGCTCATCCCGCAGCACTAGGCTTGGGGCCAATCAACATCGCCCTCTAGTCAACCCGCGCTATTCGTATTTATGTATGTATATATGTATGCATACGTACGTACGGGTTGTTGTGGTTGTTGTGTGGGGCACCCTATCTGGTCAAAAGCTGTAGGTGTCGAGAACGAGGAAAGTGAGGTGATCATAACGGGAATCACAAGGAACCACGAAACGTTCGAAAAAGAGGAAGAGAACGAGAGTGGCCGCAAAGACAACCAGCACGATGATGGGAGAATGAAGCAAAGTGTATTCCAGAATAATACCGTGCGGACAAAAGGACCGCCCCTTCGTGCTGCCTGAGACGACAAGCTTTGTAGCACCTCACAAGCCGTGGTCGGGTCGCGATCATGACTGACTCACTCCCCCACGGTTCCAACGCAAGCAATTTCGTAACGCCATTCGGTGTGCAAGGTACCACGGAGCAGTGAAACTACCTTCTAGACCACACATGGCACGAAGATCTACCGAATAGGCGCCCTTCGAGAACGAATAGTCGTTCGTGCATACATCATACCTGCCCGTAGTCGTGTTGTAGATCCCCCGCCCGTATCCTAATCTCTTTACGCCTCTACTGTGTAAGTCGAACACACGGATAGACCAGACATCGAATAGATCATATATGCATGGCTTCCCAAGGCCCCTTCAATTTTGTCCCGACTGTTGTACGTTTTGTTCTGACCCTTCTTGCGCGCTGATCACCTGAGGTCTATTTACACTCTGTTAGTGTATTTACACTCTGTTAGTGATTCTTTAGGACTAACCGATGTTGCACTTTGCAAGGCTAGGTTCCTCACGCGAGCAAGGCTAGGTTCCTCACCCCACATCTACCCTAACCCTAACCCTAACCCTAACCCTCACCCACGGCCAAAGCACGGCCTAGCGGCCGCGAACTGGTCGAGAATGCGGCTGCGCAGCCGCATTCTCGGAATGCGGAACGGCGAGAGGGCGCTGGAGAGGGTCAAGGCTAGGAACCAACGCCGGACCAATCAGAGGGCGTAAAAGCCGTTAGATAGGAAGAGTCACTAACAGACTGCAAAAACTACTTGATCACCTACAACATCATGGCCGGCGGACGTTTTTGAGCCGTTACAAAACTGGCCAGCTGTGCGGGGATAAACGCCTCTAATTCTCAATAGAACACCCGACGTGCAATCAACCTGTATGGTATTATGATGTAAAGCGACTGCGGCCTTCACCCCTCCCGCCGAACCTCATAGTATGCACTGATGTCACGGGAGGATGCCCAGCTCCAATCGACTCCTGGACTTGTTCCGCTCAGAACAAGATGGTGAGCAAGATCCTTGTCACCATCGCAGTAGCCACAGCAGGCACGATCTTTCTCGATCTTCGTTGACTGGCGGTTGGATTTCTTCTGCCGCACTACTGTGGCAATGGCAATTCTCATTCCGAACTTAGCCCCATTCGTGACTGCCGTTCTTCCGAGGTGTAGGCCAAGTATCAGCGATAGAGTACCATGCATGTGATGAACCGTATCGTGCCTCGAACGATGCTGAGCTCTCACCACCCACAGGTCCATCAAGCCGTCCAAACGGCTCGACCATGCTTGACTTGCAGATCAAGCTAACGGAAGCACACCTGCGCACCGCCGTGCCAGCAGTGCTTAGGGGTGACCTAACCCCGGAGCTGCCGTGGCGCTAAATACAGTGTTTTTTTATAGGGTTGGCACGCATGGCGAAGTTTAGGCACAGTTTGAGTCTGCGTTTCTCGCGACCCCATCCAGGGTCGAATATATCTACAGGAAATCTATTGTTCCCGGACGAGTGTCGTGCACACTTTCTTGGAATTTCACAGGACGGGCTAAAGGGCGTGATGTTACATGCAAGAGTACAATGTTGACCTGACCCAATTTTACAACCACAAACTAAATAGTCTCCCGACGGTGATGGCGTCTACATGCTCTATTGCCGACGTCTGTACATCATGGACCTGTTGAAATAGTTTCACCAAGCTCGATGGGTAGAGCTCCAAGCCATGGAGCCAACAACGCCAACAACTCAGTCAAGCAAGATTTGCCGCAAGTGACAAAAGGACGGGCGGGGTATGGGAATGTTCAAGGGATTGAGGTGGTCGAAACCGCAGTAGCGTTCGCGGCGGGAGGAACAAGACCACGGGTAGAAACCAAGCTGGAGAGGGAAAACGCTCACCTGAGAGAGCAACTCAAGTTTCAGGTTCGTTCGTGTCGTTAATTGTTGTTTCTGAAACTGGATGGATCGTGGTGTGGGGGTCAGCATATGGGGATTCGGGAAACACAGACACACGTACATGAAGAGTAGGATCTGAGGGATCTGCGATAATAGATCATGGTTCTTCCCAGGGGTTCGTTACTCTTTTCTGATTCCCAACAGCTGCGAATAGTTGATGAAACTCTTTGGGAGGCTGGGAAAATGAGTCCGCGAAGGCTCGCCCACTCTTCGCACCACCCTAGCTTGACTGAGTTCGCTCGGTCACGCTTGGCATTCCTCGCCACATGGCACCGAAGGACATAGCCAGCCTCCGGTGGCAGGTCATAGCTACCACTCCGCTCACCCAAAGTTGAGGGCTCCATAGTGGGCAATATTTCAGAACCGACCGGGCCTGCCTTGTTCGGAAAGTTCTGGCAGAGAGTTTGTTAGAAACCAGCCTACTTTCCTGCGTGTCAGTGTAGGCGTCTTCCCTTTATCGAGGAAGCCGTCGAGGAAATGGGATATCAACACCGAGAGCTCGGACCGTGTAGTGGACTGGTATGTGATTGATCAGCCCCGTTTGATTCCGAGTACATGACGGATCTCGGTTGCAGTCTATGTAGGTCCCCGGTTTACTGTCTCACGTCAACCGATACGCTACCTCAACAACCCGCTTCATACTTATGCAGGGTGCTGTGCTCGACCAGCTTGCCGGAGATGTTCACACGCTCGAGCTCAAGGCGGTTGGTGCTGCTTCCGGAGCCACCCATCTCCGACCGTCGCCAATCCACAACCAAGAAGCCACGGACGTATTACGTGAGGGACCCAAGAACGGAATGTCTCAAGGGCAGAAAGATGAAGTACACCAAGAAAACCAAGAGGCCGGTGCGCGGTGCCCAGACATGTGCAAGGGAGGAACTCAGGGCGCACACATTGATGGCGAAGATCCTCACGGGGAGGTTCGGAATGTCGATGAGAGAGATACTTTTCAACCGCAAGATACGGCGGATGATCTCGGGCAGGGCCATCGCGGAAATACTCCACCCACTCCCGTGCAACACGCACGAGACGAGTCCGCATGTGACCCGCATGAGAAACCCGATTTCCCACTCGAAACAGCATCCGACCACGTGTTGAGGAAGGTGTTGCCGACGAGCTCTTCTCCTACTGGTGGGGAGCCAGACTCTGGCGACAACGATACGGATCTGAGGTCTGAGCTGAGAGCGGCCAGGCTGTTAACGGAGAGAATCCGGGGGGACTTCGCGGCTGCGCAGAAGGCGTGAGTGAATTATTCGGACAAATCCCGCTACATCGCAAACCGTTTCGATTCAGTATGTGTTGCATATCAACACCCTTCCCAAGTGAGTATATCGGCCAACCTATCTAAGTACATGTAGTGCTGACTGTGCAAGCGTATTTTTTTGTCTTGTTTCTCTACTTCAGGGCAGAGGAGAAAGAGCAGTCTCACATCGGCCTCCTTTCTCGCGAGCGAAAATTCCGTGCCACTGTCGAAGCTGGCCTCCGTGAGAAAGTAAGTGGTGTGGTGGATGGGGGTGGGCACAGTAGACACCTTCGTTGTCGTCGGCTGGTACGTCCGGGCTTCTCTTGTTGGCCGTCTTGATTTTTTTGTCATTTGTTTTCACATTAAATCAGTGCTCAAAGCTTGAATGCGGTGAAGATTCAAGATAGGGAGCACCAGCAGTGCTATTGTGTCTGTCACGATTGGAGTAGCTAAAAATAGTTCGGACGTCTCGTTTCTCGTCACGAGCTGACGTTCGGCTCCTGGATCGTTTCGCCATTGTCGCCCGGCTCCAAATTGAAGTCAACGCTAGCGCGCACAGCGCGAGAGGTCTAGATCGAGAAAGAACATGCTGCCGGCACGGATCTTTCACCTTGAAGACAAGCAACCCTTGGTCAACCTGACCTAACCTAACCTAACCTAATCCAATCTTAACCTAACCTAACGTCTTGCTTTCCTCCGCGAAGGGGGGTCTTCTAATTTTTTTGGGTTTTTTTATCAACTCGTGTCCTTGGCGTTGTCCGACATCGTTCGTTGATGCTCCTGGGGGATGTCGTAGGTGCACAGCATGCGGCAAAGGGCAAGAGATCGAGAGGAGAGACTGTCGGCAGAATTGTCATCCGTCAAGGCGCAACTGAAGGAGGCCGTGGACTTGCTGGCAACGAAGGAGGATGAGGTGCGCAAACAGGAGCAGCAAAGCACATGCAGTGTTCGAACTACCGCAGTTGAATGTCCTCTCAAGTAGTAGGAGGAAGCCAATACTGAACATGATTCCTAGGAGCAATGCACACACACTAGGAGTGGTAGTTCGCCCAAGGACGCTCTTGTACCCCATACTCGGAGCATGTTTATGGTAAGGCACCGCTTACGAAAAAGTCGCTAAACGATTCTCCCTACAAGGTGCGCTCGATGAGGGCCCGCAACGCGGAGCAGGAAGACAGGGCCTCGGCAGCCCTGGCAAGGGGTAAAGAGCGTGATCGGCAGATGAGCTGGCTGGAGCGTCGCCTACAAGAGGTAGGTTCGAGTGCCTCACCCCTTCAGTTCCTGTGCCCAAAGACATATTTTGCACCTGCCAAATCAAGGCCGAACCTTGTTGGAGCACGTCGCGAAACATGCTTGGTTAATATCCTTGTCAAGCTTGTGTGTCCTCCAGGAAATCCACGCCCAAACAGCTTTGGTTCCAGGCCTAAGGGTCACTGGACAGAGGCGGCTATTTTTCGCGGATAATCTTTTGCCTTGACGCCTTATGCCTGGCGTCGATGTGCCAGGTGTCTTCGGGGGAAACGTCCGCGGCCACGCTCCGCCTAGAAGAAATGACGGCAGCCCTAGAGGCACAGCAGCAAGAGCTGGAAAGACTGCGGGCGTCCGCAAGAGAGGTGGAGAGCCACTACAATCACCACCACCTACGACGACGAAAACAGCAGCGGCAAACGAGAGCAACTTGGAGGGAAATCGACCAAAAACAGGTCAGCTCTCCACACCGCCTCTGCTCCAACGCGTGCTGTACCCGCGCCCCCCCTCAATGGTCTAACGACTACGGCATGCACGACTATGAGTACCCCCTTTGAGGAAGGGTGAATGTATTGCCTCGGCGACCGTCTCACAGGAGACACCCAACGGGGGATCCGGGGATTTATTACACGTCGGAGTAGAACTCGCCCTGCAGGCCATACTCTGTATGTCAAACAACGAAACTGAAGGTGATCGCTTAAATTAGTGAATATTTTTCTTGTCTTCATTCACGACGCAGGTTAGCCTCCGAGCGGAGAGTGGCAAGCTCGTGAGTGCTGCTCGGGGTCCGTCAACCGACGATCATGACGATCATAACCATCGGCACGAGAGCGGGGCAGCAAACACCTCCTCCTGCGTTGACGACAACACCCAGGTCGCCAACGATGCAAATCTCCGCAATGACGACGGCAACTGCGACGACAGGCGTCTAGCCGTGAGCAGAGTAGTACCGCACCACGACCACGAGAGCAAGCACCGGAGACGTGAGGGTGACGATAACGGTGACGTACCTCGTGTCAGCCTTGATCTTGAAGCGCTGTTGTAGCTGGTGGCGGAGGGATGGAGAGGTGGAGGGGAAAGGGGGTGAGTGGGCGGGGAGGAAGATGGTGAAGGTGAAGAATATTTGAAGAAGAATCACACCCAGCGGTGGACCCTGCACTACGCTACAGACGTATGGTCGACGGTCGTGGCGACGAACCAAGAAAGTGTGTCGGCTGGGGCAACACCCAAAACTGACTCCAGAGCACAAGTTCGCCAAAGTAATAAGAGGTTTCATGACGTATCCCGCAAAAAGAGGAAGATACCGGTGGTAGGCCAGGTCGTCATCTTTGATTGCAGAGGCGGAGGTCTGCTTTCGTTCAGAGGAAGTGAATTGATTTGCCCCTGCTTGTACACAAGAGGAAAGAAAGCATGGCGAATCTCGCGAGTACCCGCGACGCCCAGCCCTTGATCCGAAAAAGGTGCATTCGCTTGCGAAACTCAAGCCAAGCTTAGAGAGCTGCAGTACTACTGTAGTAACAGCAAGGACGGGCTGCGGGCGCAGGCAAAACTCTCTCTGCCTCTTTGCGGAAGAAACGAAAGGTGTACGCATGTTTGCACGCGGCGCACTCTCTCTTGTACAGCAGTTTTTTAACCCCATTAAATACATGTAAGTGTTACAAGTAAGTGTATAGTCCGCCAGTAACAATAGTAATATACGAAGTAGTGATAGTTCGAGTGAGTTGGAAGAGACCCCCACCTAGATTCAAGTGGTCGAGTTCAACAATATGAGCCACATGCCACTGCTTACCCGCTAGGCTCCCTGCCTCTCTCTCCCATTCGTTCGAGCGACACGTACCTCAATGTACGGTCAACTACACATGTATTTTCCCGCTGTACGGCACGCTCCGCCGACCCCGGGGATGGAGAGTTATCGTCCCCTGAACCTTTAGGACACTCCTCGCGTTAAATAAGGGTACTTGTTGAGACAAACAATTATGAGCGTCCTTGATTAAAGCAGGGACGGTTGCATGTACATACCAAAGTTGCGTTGGTGTGGTGGGTTCTGTAGCACAAAGCGGCAAGAGATTTCCAAAGATTTTGGATACATAGCGTCTCTCTTGGATACGTTGAGAATCATTGGAAAAACCCTCCGTCGACGTGGTTGGTCTTCTGACTATACACAACAAACACCAGTCTCAGTGCGCTCTTTACTTGTCACACAGCACACAAACATGTTCTTGCGTCAGGAGGTACAGCGGAGGTACAGAGCAGCAGCAGGTAGCTTTCATGCTGGTGCCGGTCACACCGCATACCTCCTGGGAGGGGATACGCAGAAAGTACTTTTCCTTGACTACACGGGGGGCTTGAATTCCATTTTTCCGGCTCTTCCATGCAAAATGCCAGCTGTCAACATATGGTATGCCGCAGAGCCATCACTCCGGTAGAGGAAGAAAGAAGAGGGCGAGGTAGGACGCCTGCGCAAGCGAAGGGAAACGTGAAAGGTGTGTTTGAGTGCTGCGAGTAAACTGTACGAAGGGTGAATCATGAGCGCTCTCGCAACCGGAACCCGAAAGCAGTAGCTGTAGTGATGAACCAAAGTCAACAACCAATCTCAGATCTTCCAGCTTGATCGAGTTGAGTTGACCTTTCAGCAGCAGCCAGGGGGCACAAATGCCCCGCCTTCTCGAAACGGGGGTGTTCCCGCACAGGCTAGTGTCCCGTCGCTTCTTCCGGCATCGCCCACTACGCGTGTGCTCTCACAGCTGTTGTGCTCTGTATTGCTCGATGTTGCTGCTGTGCATCTACAGCAGCAATTGTGGTGAATTGTGGAATCCAGCACATGATGCCACTTGGTAGAGCCAAAGAGAGTTACGAGCTATTACAGCAGGAGCGCCATGCCGTTATGAGTCATGCGCCCTTGGCACACAGCAGTAGTGCTGTAGCAGTAGCGCAGCGAGCGAGTTGACTGCCGTGATTTCCATCCCAGAAAAGACGAGATGCAACTAGTCCTGTAAGCAGGACTTTCCTTCCTCCCGTTGCCGATCGGCTTATTTAGGTGCTCAATATTTAGATTTTCCACACAAAACAACCAATCACATGCGACACATCTTTTTTGTCGATGCGCCAATTTGCACTCGGGTTGTATCCATATTCATATGCATACTTCTGTAGAAGAAAATCATTTGCGTACCAAGATCGAAGCTAGATGTTTGCGAGGACAAGGACAGGATTGCACCGGGTCGAGATGGCATTCCACTCAAGGGGATGGGTGTGTTGGAGCCTCCTCCTCACTTAACGTTCAGTGGTGTCTGCCTGAGATGGAACCTTCACACTGTTCATTCCAGCCCGTTCATTCTGCTTTATAGATGGTGTACCGGATTAGGTTGCTGTTTGTGTAGATATTTTTGCCCGGTAGTGCCTACCAGTTACCGTACGAAGGCTGAGATCACTAGCAACAGCAGGGCATTACCGTTCACTACCGTGTGGACAAACTTGACCAACAGTGCAAAATGAAAAACGGTCGCCGTGGACAGCCTTTGGGTCCTGTATTTCTCTCTTTCTTAGTTTTCAAAGTGCACAATGTGCTGGAAGTAGTTGCCTTTACCGGGTGGCGAAGAGTCAGTTGACTTGTAGAGTACGGATGTAAAAAAGAAGTGGCAAATCCTAAGCAGAGATCGAAAAGGTTTTTGATGTGAAGATACAGTATATACAACACTCGCCCCAAAGTTTTTTTCAATCAGCGCACCGTCCTGACCTTGCCACCATTCATTTCCTGCCGGAACTCGTCTCAACTTGCACATGTTCCGAAACGGGACTTGTCCCAGCTTTTTGGTCGTATTCCATCGAAGCTTGGCACTTGACCAACAAAACCGCTATTGCTTCTGCCTTGCTCGCGCGCACAGGCAACAAGCCAAGCTCATAGCATTCGATGCCTGTTGGGGAAGGAGCGGGGGGACAAGATGGGTCTGCGGCAACTCTGGTGAGGAGCGACCAAGACTCCGGTATGGCTCTCGTCAAGAGCAAGGATGGCAGGACGAAGTGGCTCACTGTCAGGTGGGTTTGCAGGAACTGCACATGCCATCACAGAAGGACTGACAATGTCAAGACGGGGCTGTGGAAGCTGCGCAGCTTGACCTGCACATGACACCACAGAAGGACTGATAATATCAAGAGGGGACTGTGGATAGCTTTGCACATGACGTCACAGAAGGACTGACAAGGGACTGGAAAAGGTCCTCGCAGCAGTGATCGTTGAGTCAGCAGCGGAGATGTGTATGCTACTGGTGTGGATGCTGTTTCTTGCAAGCATGCTCTCGACAGAGTTGCGTGCAGCAGCAGTACTCTATGCTACTATGCTACCGTAGGTCTCCTAGGTTATCCCTGTACCGAACCGAAAGATCGATTACTCTACGACGAGGAGGATGCGAAAATCCACAAGATTGTTGTTCGGAACGGTCCCAAGGACGGTCCCAAGGCCTCCATGTTTGGCACCGTCACATGTGTTGCTGCAGAGTACCGGGAATCGAGCGTTGGAAATCGATGCAGGGGGTGTGGCATCTTGTGCGACCTGCGTTAGCCCCCCCATTGAGACCCACTACTTACCAAACAACTCCCTCCAACACGTGCACTATAATATTAATAGTCGAGAAGCAGACAAATTATATCGAACTGCTTGTGGGCCCCCGTTGTTTTCCCGATCATGCATACCCCCTTTGTTTTTCTGGCTGTTGATGCGTACCCCGACCCCGTTGTTTTTCTCACTCTTTTGTGCATACCGCGGAACCCCCTCACCACGCAGCACCGATCCGACGTCGACCCCGCCAAGCACCACGTGGGACGAGCGCGTGAGGACGTGGGCGAGCATGCTGGGCGTCTGCGCGCCGCCGCCGTCCCCCCCCTCGAGCAAGCGCCACAACCACGGGACCCCCCTGCCGACGCCGCCTCCCGACAGTCCCGCCTGGGGCGGCGAGGAGAGGGGGGGCCGGCATCAGGACAAGCAGCAGCAGCAGCAGCGGCAGCAGCAGCACTGGCCGTCCGATCGCGATGACGACTCTTCCGCCGCCACGGCAGCAGCAGCAGCAGCAGCCGTCGCCAATGACAGTACTGCTGTCACAGGAACCAATAGCCCCGCTTCTGCTGCAGCAGCAAGCCCTGGGGTTGGCGTTGCCGCAAGCACCGCGAGGCGAAAACCCGTCGCCACCGGGAAACGCGTAGGCTCTTTCGCGCGCGGGTTCCTGCTGGGCCTTGGGGGAGGCGGCAGCGGCAGCGGCGGCGGCGGCGGCGACGGCGGTGCTTCTAAACGGAGCAAGAATCCCACCGGCAACGCGCCTGCCCACGCGGCGGGAAAGGGTGGTGGTAGTTGTGGTAGTTGTGCTGTTGTCGCACCGGCGTCGACGCTGCCCCCTCAGACGCTCGAAGCCGGAGAAGGGAGCATCGTGCAAGACGGACGTGATGGCGGTGGCGACATGGCGGTGGTGCCATCGACACCGGTCGAGACGATGGCTGTTGCTGGCGCCGATGACGTCACGGGGGTGCGACGGCAGCGGTGGGTCAAGGGCGCCCCGCCCAGCCCCGGCGACAGCGACGACAGCGACAGCGATGGTGACGTCACTTGTAGGAGTAACAAGGGCGGGGTTGGAGGTGCTTCGCCGTGCGGCACCTGCTCTCCTCCCCCTCCTGCTGATGTTGCTGCCGCTGCCCCAGCCCCAGCCCCAACCCCAGCCCCAGCCCCAGCCCCAGCCCCAGCCCCAGCGGGCGGTGACGCAGAGGGCATGGAGTGGCTAGAGACAGGCCCCGGCGGCAACGTCGCGGCGAAGGCTAACAGCGGCGGGACGAAGACGATCGGGGGCGGCGGCGGCGGCGGCGGCGGCGGCTCCAAGAAGAAAAAAAAAAACAAAGGCAAGGGCAAGGGCGGCGGCGGCGGCAGCGGCGGCGGAGCTAAGCCCACCAAGAACGCCTCTTCCTCCCTCCCATCAACGGCAGCAGAGAACAAGACCACGGGCACGCAGCCGGTGTCACAGTCGTCGTCAGGGAAACAAGAGCCATGCCGCACCCTCAACGGGGCGGCGGCAGGCAGGGTCAAGGCTAAGCGTGCCAAGGGCGGGAAGAAGCTGAGTGTTTCCTTCGGCCGAGTTAACCTCGTCGAGTTTACGCGGGACGTGGGTGGCTGCGGGGTCCCGAGCGATGGGACGTGGGGGCTCGCGCTGGGCCTGCCGTTTCGAGAAACCGTGGTAGATGTGGACGGCTACGAGACCTCCAGGACTGAGGTGAGAGGCACTCTGGTTCAGAAAATGGCTTTGCTTTTTTCATGCGGAGAAGTTACGCGGTATGATACGAAGCGACAAAGAAACGGTATGTGTAGGCACAAGGGTGCATGGCCGTGTCGAGCTGAGAACACCTTCTTCACCCCCCTTTTTTTTTTTTTTTCGGTTCAATTTTGATTATTTTTCTGAGTTGATTTTTATTTCCCCGAGTCCACTTTCATTTCCTGTTGGTGTCGGGAGCGTGCACCCTGTTGTTTGGGTAGTTGTTGGCCTGTGGCCACGGCAAGCGTCAGCGTCAATTGGACCAGTATAATAGTGTACGGACATCAGAAGGTACTGAGCAGTACCGGAACGGTTTCTCAGTACGAAGACAATGTGGCTAGGCTACATTGGAGAGGCGGCCGACGGCAGCGTTTCGTCTCCCGTGGTAGTTAGTGATTACCGCACCCAGACCCGCATTTTCTCCTGACGCCTGTGGTGAGGGCAGGATGATTTGTGGAATTCCGTACTAGTTATAAGGTTGCCGCATGTGCTTCCCCTGCTCCGGTTATAGCCATAGCGACGCCCGCTGCGGGTGTTCGCGACAGGGTGGGGTGCCAGGCGACACTTGAAGTCATCCTTCTGGGAGTATTGTTGATGCGCTATGATTGTGTCGCTAATGGAACGTGGCAAAATGGCAGATCCTCGAAGAGCGCACTTCGGAGCTTTCCAGGAAGCAGCGGCATCTGTCTACGGGCGAAACTCGTCAGTTCGACTACCGCCCGATGGGGGAGAAGAACCCGCTTTTTTACCGCCTCGGGGAGAAGGAGCGCAGGCATGTTTCGGTGTTGTTGTTGCTGTTGGTGCTGGTGGTGGTGTTGCTGTTGCTGCTGTTGTCGTCGTTGTTGGTGTTGGCGTGTGTGTATGTTACATCCCCTCTTACGTTTCTCGTTTTCTTTTATCTTTCTTTGTTTCGTTTTTCCTTGTTGTTTCTGTCAACAGCAAGAAACTCCTCGACTACGCCTGCTTCCACAAGTCGGACTTAGAAGAGGCCGACAGAGATAACGAAGCTGTGCAAACTCCTGACGACAGCGCCGACGCTAACGACAACAACAGCCACATCAATGGCTCGGGCGGGAAAGGCACCAGCGACTTCGACGCCTTCAGCCACAAGGTAACCCCGCCTGATGAAAGACGTGGTATGTTCGTTGAGCCGCAGTGAGCAAAAAAAGAGCGCAAGTACGCACACGAGTTTTTTCTTTTTTTGTTTGACACACGTGAGGTTTGGCCTCGATGGCAAACAACCCGGTGATTTGATGTGTGTTTGGGTAACGGACACGTTCACGAGGAGGCTCCGCCAATTCGCCGTCATCACCCCCCCCCCCCCCCCCCCCCCCAAAAAAAAACAACAAGACCAAACACAACCAACCACAC